CAAGAGACACTGTGAAGCTTCTAAGAAATCATCCTAGTCTTGCTCTTTGGGTGGGTGGAAATGAACAAGTTCCACCACCTGACATCAATAATGCTTTAAAGGAGGACCTGAAACTCCATCCTCATTTTGAGAGCCTCCAAAACACTGGCGAGTCTGTGCAGGATGTGTCTGCAGACTCGAAAGATCCTAGTCAGTATCTTGATGGTACACGCATTTACATCCAAGGATCTATGTGGGATGGCTTTGCAAATGGAAAGGGGGACTTCACTGATGGCCCTTATGAAATACAATACCCTGAGAGTTTCTTTAAGGATGATTTTTACCAGTATGGATTCAATCCTGAGGTTGGTTCTGTAGGAGTGCCTGTTGCTGCTACCATCAAAGCAACAATGCCTCCAGAGGGGTGGAAAATTCCATTGTTTAAGAAGCTTCCAAATGGGTTCATAGAAGAAGTGCCAAACCCCATATGGGAATACCACAAATACATTCCTTATTCAAAACCAGGCAAGGTTCACAATCAGATTCTACTCTATGGGGCTCCAGCAGATCTTAATGATTTTTGCTTGAAGGTATATAAAATCTTCATTTATTCACTAACAATTGCTTTAATCTTTTTTAAGCCTCTACCCACCTGTTTAAGCAAAGGATTTAAACTACCATAAATGGAAGTTGTTCCAAAGGATTTAAACTATTTTATTGAGACAAATTTGGTATGATCTCGCTGAATGGTGCAAGAGGGTCACATTGGCCGACCCCAACTAGTTTGAGATTAAGCCTTTGTTGCTGTTCTACTGACCTGTTTAAAAAATCATCTCAGGCTCAGCTTGTAAACTACATTCAGTATAGAGCTCTATTGGAAGGCTGGACGTCCCGTATGTGGAGCAAATACACTGGTGTTTTGATTTGGAAGACTCAGAATCCTTGGACAGGTCTTAGAGGCCAGTTTTATGATCATCTCCATGATCAAACAGCAGGTTTTTATGGGTGTCGCAGTGCTGCAGAGCCAGTCCATGTCCAGCTAAATTTGGCTACATATTTTATCGAGGTAAATGACAAACTAAAATGGTATCGTTTTCACTTCATTAGGTAAATGACTAAACTAGAATGGCATCATTTTCGCTTCATTGAAGCACATATCCAAACGCATCATTATTTATTATGTTGTTACGCATGGCATAATCCATTCCTTTCTTCTGGAGTACTTCCTGACTTTCTAGTTTCTCTTTCCATGAACAGGTTGTTAATACTCTGTCAGAGCAACTATCTGATGTAGCCATAGAAGCATCAGTGTGGGATCTCGAAGGAACATGCCCATATTACAAAGTTCTTGAAAAACTCTCTGTTCCATCGAAGAAAACAGTACCCATCATTGAGATGAAATATCCAAAATCAAAAAACCCGAAGCCAGTTTACTTTCTTCTTCTCAAGCTCTACAAGATGTCAGATTATGGTATTATATCTAGGAATTTTTACTGGTTGCATCTGCCTGGTGGGGATTACAAACTGTTGGAGCCATACAGGGAGAAGAGAGTTCCCCTCAAGATTAAATCGACGGCTTTTATTAAAGGTTCCACTTACGAAATGGAAATGCACGTCAAAAACAAATCCAAAAAACCAGACTCAAAAAGTTTAACCTATAAGAATAATTTTGTTACCGGAGTTGGTGAGGGTGATTTTGACATGGCCTCAGTGGAACCTGTAAATATTGCGACTGAGGAAAAACAGAGTGCTAGTTTATTTAAGAAGATCTACAGACGTTTTTCAGGGGAAACTGATGGTTTGCAGGTTTCTGAAATTAACGGCTCAGATGGAGGAGTTGCTTTTTTCCTATATTTCTCAGTTCATGCTTCAAAACCAGGCCACCAGGAAGGAGAAGACACAAGAATTCTCCCTGTTCATTACTCAGACAACTACTTTTCACTGGTACCTGGAGAGGTGATGTCCATCAAGATATCTTTCGAAGTTCCTCCAGGTGTGACCCCACGGATAAGACTTCATGGCTGGAATTACCACAGTGGACACAAAGTTTGCTAAACTCAGTTATCTCACTCCTCGCCATTTGATTGTTTGTGGTCTTTCAGATCATCACCTTCATGGCCAAAAAAATTGGTGGTGTTCTGATTGTTGAAAAACGCAGTTCAACTTCGGTTTTCTCAAAAAAAGATCCAACTTCTCGGCTCATAATTCTCTCATTTCCTGCCACACACGGCTTGTAAAAGTAACTTTTATCGAAGATAAAGCAGCGGTGCCAGTCTAGAGAGAGCATTCGGATTCATCTTCTTTACTTCCTGCTGTTTGAGGTTATAGATCTTAATATGAAATTTGATTTCTAGCTGTAAATGACTGTCACAAAGAACTGCATTCAGCATTTGATGTGGTTTTCTTTGTACTTTTTAATATACTTTAGATTCATTTCTTGATATGGAGAGACAAGAAGTAAAATACAATGAAGCCTTTGCCTTGTTATGTTTTTGGTTAAACAGGCAGATTGACCAGCATCAGCTGCACTTGTAGCAGGAATGCTAGTCTGAGCTGACCTTTGTCATAAATGTCATCATCGACTACAGCTTGCAGCCGACACCTCAAGGCAAGTGCCCTTCTGGCAATTAAGAAGTTTGAACCTGAAAATGGTTTTAAAAAATTACCATAAGCTATAGAGATGCACTCTTTTGTTTTTTCCATGAACATGGAGTTTTGTTGAATGGAAAACTCAGAATCCAAAGTTACAGTAGAAAAGATGTCAGGTGGAACATCTTCTATCCCAAGTAACACTGAATCCCAACTTGATACTAAAAAATGGAACTGGTTTTTCTTGTTAGTTTCCTATTATTTACCTATTCACGCTCGAAACAAGAACTTTTTTTATTTTCTGTTTTTATTATTTTATAATCTACCAATAATTTATATTACTAGAAAAACCTTCTAATTTTTTTTTATCTAAAAAATTCTTTAATTTATTTTAAACCTCTCAAATTCAAAATAATATTTTTTTTTATCAAAATACGTAATAATTAGCTTCAATTTAACAGTAATTACTTGTCAGTTGTTTTGGTAAGATATATATTTTTTTAAGTTTAAGAAATTTAAAAATAAATTGATAAGTTTTTTAAGTTCAAGATTTTTTTTAGAGATTTTCTAGTAATTATCTAATAATATTCTCATTTCATAATCTTTAATGAGTTTGATGTTTGATGTTTTTTTTTAACTGTTGACACACTAACCTTCAACAATTAATTTTTATTACACTAATTGAAACTTTGTAGTTTCATCAAGTAATTAAATTAAATTACACAATGAAGGTATAACATATTTTAATCCATTAATTAAATAGAACATAGGTATTCAAAATAGAAATAAATATCTTGAAAAATAATAATTTAATTTAATTTAGGGACAATTACAAGAAAACCTTGTAAAAAAATTTTTATTTAAAAAATCTATCAACTTATTTTTAAAACTCTCAAACTCAAAATAATATATATATATATATTTTTTATCAAAACACTCAATAGCTAACTAGTCTTAAGTGAAGGGTTAATTATTGAGTATTTTGATAAAAAAAATATTATTTTGGATTTGAGAGATTTAAAAATAAATTGATAAGTTTTTTAAATAGATGTTTTAAAAAAGTTTTTCTTGTAATTATCAATATAATCTATTCTTATTTAAACTTCACATCATAATTATTTTATTCTTCGTTTTTGGTAATTATGCAAAAATACCCCTTTCTTTTCCTCGTTACATTTGCAAAAATATCCTAGAAAACGCTTTTTCCATCGTACATCGGACTACGTGGAGAAATTTTATAACACTTAATGAATAATTAGTAACATGTATATTATAGACACAAAAAGGAGAGAGAAACAAGAGAGAGAAAATTAAAAAAAAATTGAGTGAACGTTAAAATCTTCTTATAACTTTTGGTGGATCCAGATATAATTTTATGTGTCTATCTCTCCCCTCTAAATAAATTCATGAAGTAACTACTATATATACTACTCGGTCTTCCTATGCCTCAAAGTTCAAACTTTTTTAGAGTTTTAGTAGGCGGTGGTTGAACCTAACTTGAACAAAATGGAGGATATTACCATTGCCTCCTCTATTCTTAATTTTTAAATGAAAAAAAAATCAAATTTTTTTTTTCATTTTTGGCTATAAAAAGAGAAACTATAAGGGGAAGAAAACTAAATTGTAAAATTCCCTTTCGAACTTGACTAAAAAAACAAATATCCATTGGAACTAAAAAAAATGATGATTTTGTTTCTTAAACAATATGATTTTTTGAATTTTTTTATTTTATGAGAATTTTATTAAAAAAATTAATGGAAAAACCTTTAAAAATCAATTCAATTCTTTTTTCTCTATTAATAAACATGTTTTTGTCTAAATTTACCGAGAAAATAATATGAAGTAGAAGGATTTTTACGAGTTTTTCCGTCAGTTTCTCAATAGAATACTAATAAAAGGGACTTCCACGTTCAAAAAATCATATTGTTTAAAAAATAAAATCAGAGATTTTTTTAGTTTAGTGAGATTTTTTTTTTTTTTCCGTTCTAACATAGAAATATATTTTACAATTTAGGTTGAAATCTCATTACCGTCCCTAACATACAATCAGATTCAATTTTAATTCCAAAGTAATGCTCCTTTGTAATTTTTTTAATCGATTTTATCTTCATAGTATATAGTGTTTTTCAATTAGATCCTTCTGTCTAAATTAATCACACCTTTCAAAATAAAATGTCAAATTCTCTTTAAAATATGCCATTTCATTGCATAAAGAAAATTAACATGTTAACGAACAAGGTTAGGAGGACTCAATTGAAACATTTCTGATACTTGTGGGAATTAATAAAAACAATATTTAGTTTAGAGACTTAATTTAGGATTGATGGATAGATTGGGAACTAATCTGAGATTTCCCAAAATTTAAACACCCTTTCTTCCCTCTAGTAAAAAGCACAGGCAACTTGGTAGTTTACAACTTCCATTTTTCATGGATGAAATCCAAATGGGTAATCCACAAATTGAATGCCCACTTTCCCTCATGGGCAAACTCCTTGCGATCTCCATTCAAGACCCAAATCTACTGCACCCCATCTTCGAAGACTTTATCTTTTCTTCTCGACCATTTACATATAAGCCACCTATTATCCATTTGTGGAAGAGAAGGTTACCTTCGTCTAGGTTCTTCTCTCCATGCTTCTATAATCAAAATCCAGGAATGTTTTAACTACCAAAGCCAAAATGCTATTGTCATTTGGAATTCTCTCCTTTCTATGTATGCAAAAAATGGGGTCTTAAATGATGCTGTTAAGCTGTTTGATGAAATGCCCATGAGAGATACCGTATCGTGGAATATAATTATTTCTGGGTTTTTAAACGATGGGAGTTTTGATGTGGGTCTTGGGTTCTTTAAACAAATGCAAAGTTTGGGATATTATAGGTTAGATCAAGCAACTTTGACCACCATTTTATCGGCTTGTGATGGGCCCGAGATTGGTTTTATTAATAGGGCGATGCATTGTTTAGCGGTTTTAAATGGTTTTGAGAGAGACATAAGTGTAGGGAATGCATTGATAACATCTTATTTTAAATGTGGGTTTTCTAGTTCCGGAATGCAGGTTTTTTACGAGATGCTTGAAAGGAATGTTATCACTTGGACTGCAGTGATATCAGGGCTAGCACAAAGTGAATTATACGAGGATAGTCTGAGGTTTTTTGTGAAAATGACTAGTGGATTAGTAGAACCGAATTCTTTGACGTATTTGAGTTCATTGATGGCGTGTTCTGGTATGCAGGCATTGAAAGAAGGGTGTCAAATTCATGGGCGTTTATGGAAATTGGGTCTTCAATCAGACTTCTTCATTGAAAGTGCACTAATGGACATGTACTCGAAATGTGGAAGCATGGGAGATGCTTTGCAGATCTTTGAGTCTGCTGTAGAACTTGACGAGGTTTCCATGACTGTAATTCTTGTGGGTTTTGCACAAAATGGGTTTGAGGAAGAAGCTATGCAAGTTTTTGTGAAAATGTTGAAGGCAGGAATTGACATTGATCCCAACATGGTTTCAGCTGTCCTTGGGGTATTTGGTGTGGACACGTCTTTGGGTCTTGGTCAGCAAATTCACTCATTAGTTATCAAACGGAGCTTTGGTTCTAATCCCTTTGTTGGCAATGGGCTGATTAATATGTACTCTAAGTGTGGAGATTTGGAGGATTCCATTAAAGTCTTTAGTCGAATGCCTTGCAGAAACTCAGTCTCTTGGAACTCTATGATAGCTGCTTTTGCTCGTCATGGGGATGGCTATAGATCACTACAGTTATATGAAGAGATGAGATTGAAAGGTGTAGAGCCAACAGATGTTACATTTCTCTCATTGCTTCATGCATGTAGCCATGTAGGCTTAGTTGAAAAGGGCATGGAGTTCTTAAAATACATGACTGAAGTTCATAGGGTTATTCCTAGAATGGAGCACTATGCTTGTGTTGTTGACATGTTAGGCCGAGCAGGGCTTCTCAGTGAAGCTAAGACTTTTATTGAGAGATTACCTGTGAAGCCTGATGTGCTTGTTTGGCAAGCGTTGCTAGGAGCTTGTGGCATTCATGGAGATCCTGAAATGGGGAAATATGCAGCTGAGCAGTTAATTTTATCAGCTCCCGAGAAGGCAGCTCCTTACATTGTGTTGGCGAATATATATTCTTCTAAAGGTAGATGGAAAGAAAGAGCAAAGACAATTAAGAGAATCAAAGAAATGGGCGTGGCCAAAGAAACAGGAATAAGTTGGATTGAGATTGAAGCTAAATTGCACAGCTTTGTTGTTGAAGATAAATTGCACCAACAAGCTGAGATCATATATGGGGTTTTGGCAGAGTTGTTTGGGCACATGATAGATGAAGGTTATGTGCCAGATAAGAGATACATTCTCTCTTACGTGAATGAAGATGAGAAGGGATAGAAGATGATTGATTACTAGCTAGTAAACTAATTAAGTTGTGAATTAAACTTTGAGGAAATTAAAGGGACTGCAATGCTATAGTTCATTACAATTTGGAAAGAACGTTGAATTACTGCATGAATTTTGTAAGTTGAGTCCCATTTTAATTTTTCCAGATATAGTATTTTAATTAACTAACTGTTGAACGCATGAACGTTTGAGTTGAGCTTTATTTGGATGTCTGTTATACAATATGCACATGTGCCTTCTTTTTTGTCGATGTGGATGCCAACATGTGAGATGACATGGCATCCACATTAGCGACACTGTAAACCCCTATCAGAGATCAGAAGGCTGCAAACCTCTCTTCCTTTCTCTCTCAGTATAAATCAAACAATTGGGAGCTTGGCCTCTTATTTTGTAGTGGAAGGATGCCCTTGGTGGTTACGATGTAAAGATCGCTGAATTGGCTTATGCCCCGCATCTTCTGATTACATAATGTTCAAAACACACTAGAAGGCAGCTGGAACGTATTCAGCATCCAACTCCTTATTCTTCCCGGAAATGGGGTATAAATTAATGATCTTACACAACTTGACTTAAACTAAGGAGATTGGTTCAATTTTGCATGCAATGACCATAGTCCACTTAAACTAAGGAGATTGTTCCAATTTTGCAACCTATGACTATAGTTCATAATCTGAAATCAATGGAGGTCCTCAGTGATCATTCTTGCAAATGGGTTATGTTAGTGGCATCAAATGCATCGGGAGTTCTCACCCTGGCTCCTGATAGCCATACAATAAAGACTAAAAAATACTGCTGCCAAATTAATGTTCCGGTCCCAGAACTTAACCATTCTTTCTTTTCATGCATTTGGATTGTTATATGCATTTATTTCATGATATCTCTCATTAAACTATAACAATCCACTGGTTATTTTCAAATGGATTCTATTATTGCACTTTGACAATTTTTCTTAAATGCAGTGAACATAATTTCAGATAAACAACTGTGCCTGTACATCAATGGACATACCTCTGTAAAATCTCTCAATAAAGAAAGAACAAGATAGAGAATGACAATAAAGCAAAGCTTTACCATAGAAATGGCATTATTCTTCTGTCTCATCTATTTTCTTCTGTCAACAACTTCAGCATTTGTTTGTGACTTCACTGATTGCCAAGCTCTTCTCAAATTCAAGACAGGAATAACAGGTGATCCTGAAGGTCATCTTCAAGCCTGGAACGAATCCAATCCCTTCTGCAACTGGACTGGAATTACATGCCACCAGAATCTTCAAAACCGGGCCATCGCTCTGGAGCTTATAGACATGGATTTAGATGGAAGTATTTCCCCATTCTTATCAAATCTTTCTTTTCTCACCAGGCTATCTTTGCATGGGAATAACTTCCATGGAGAAATTCCAACTTCCTTGGGAATGCTCTCACAGTTAACACACTTGAATGTGAGCGATAATGTGCTTGAAGGTAGCATTCCTGCTTCAGTCCATGGTTGTCAAAGCTTGGAAGTTCTAGAATTGACTAAAAACACCTTCTCTGGGGTCATTCCTGAAGAACTTGGCTGGCTGAAGAAGCTGACAGTTTTTGCTCTCTCTAAAAACAATCTCACTGGGTCCATACCAGCATTTTTCTCTAACATGACAGAGCTGAGAGAGTTGAGATTGGCCTTCAACTATTTTACTGGCAAGATTCCCATGGAGCTAGGAGCTTTAACTAAGCTCGAGATATTGTATTTGCACAGGAACTTTCTTGAGGGAGCAATACCTGCATCAATTAGTAACTGCACAGCTCTACGTGAAATTTCAGTGGGTGACAATCTAATAACAGGAGAAATCCCTTCAGAGATCGGCAACAAGATCCAGAACTTGCAGAAGCTGTATTTTCTGTCAAACTACATTTCTGGTAGAATTCCAGTGACCCTCTCTAATCTTTCTCAATTGACATTGCTTGATCTTAGTTTGAACAACTTAGAGGGTGGAGTTCCAGCAGAATTGGGGGAATTAAAGAATCTTGAGTTTCTTTCCCTTCATTCCAACTTCTTAGTCAGCGATTCTTCCCTCAGTTTTCTTACTGCCCTCACAAACTGTTCCTTTCTGCAAAAACTGCACTTGGCCTTTTGTTTATTTGCTGGGAGTTTACCAGCCTCCATTGGGGATCTTTCTAAAGATCTCTATTACTTCAGTCTTTTCAAAAACAATATAACAGGGAAGGTTCCAGATAGTATTGGCAATTTGAGCGGCCTGGTGTCACTAAACCTTGGGTACAATTACTTGAATGGAACCATTCCAGGATCTTTTGGAAAGCTGGGGCACTTGCAGCGATTGCATTTTGGGAGAAACAAACTTCAAGGCTCTATTCCAGATGAAATGGCACAGACGAAAAACCTTGGCTTTCTTAATCTTAGTGATAATTGTATAAATGGGTCAATCCCATCTTCTCTCAGTAATCTCTCACAGTTGAGATATCTTTACCTGTCTCATAACAACTTATCAGGACCTATTCCTACGGAACTCACCCAGTGTTCTGTCATGATGCTGCTGGATTTATCTTCTAACAACTTACATGGTTCTCTTCCGCCAGAAATTGGTCTTCTTTCAGAGTTGGGGCTCTCGCTCAACTTTTCCAACAACAACCTCAACGGAGAAATACCTGCAAGTATTGGGAAGCTGGCATCTGTACAGGAAATTGATTTGTCAAAGAATAGATTCTCTGGCATCATACCAAGCTTCGTGGGAAGCTGCATATCTTTGAACTACTTAAACCTATCCAACAACATGCTTGAAGGTACAATTCCAGAGTCCTTGAAACAAATTAGATATCTGAAAATCCTGGACTTGTCTTTTAATCAATTAACGGGTAGTGTTCCAGCCTGGGTAGCCAATGACTCGACAATAGAGAATTTTAACTTCTCCTATAATAGACTAACAGGAGAAGTTCCAAATATGGAAAGGTTTAAAAATCTCAGCATCAGCTCATTGATTGGAAATACCGGGTTGTGTGGTGGGTCTGGACTAAAGGGTCTCCATCCATGCAAAGTCCAAAAGAAAACGAGACAATCAAGGAAATGGTTTGTGCTAGCAGTTACTTTGAGTTGTTCTTTATTGCTCTTGATTTTTCTTTCCATCTGCATTCGATGCTTCTTCTTCAGGAAAAAAGCTGCTGGAGCTGATGAACCAAATCTAAAAGCTTCCCCATCCCATCATTTTACTCAAAGGGAGCTAGAAATGGCAACTCTTGGGTTCAGTGAAACCAATCTCTTGGGAAGAGGAAGTTTTGGATCAGTTTATAAAGCTCAGATTGATGATGGAAAATCAATTGTTGCAGTTAAGGTCCTTGGTGGGGAGTATAGGCAGAGTTACAAAAGCTTTAAAAGGGAGTGGGAAATATTGTCCGAAGTTAGGCACAGGAATCTGATTAAAATGGTTGGAGTCGCCTGGAATCCAAACTTCAAGGCTCTTGTTCTCGAGTTCGTTGGCAATGGAACCTTGGGACAGCATCTTTATCCTACCACAACTGAGGGAGGAAATTGTCAATTGACATTGAGGGAAAGATTGAGCATAGCAATTGATATTGCAAATGCTTTGGAGTACCTTCACGAGGGTTGTTTCGTTCAAGTTGTGCATTGTGACCTGAAACCACAAAATGTGCTTCTGGACAATGATATGGTGGCCCATGTTGCAGATTTTGGAATTGGAAAGCTCATGTTAGTTGACAAACCACAAGGATATTCTACCATGAGTAGCTTCCTACGTGGATCTGTTGGCTATATTCCTCCAGGTAAAAATACATATAGGTCATAATAATGCCTTATTTTTCTCGTCTAATTGCTTCGAGTTCTTGCTTAGTATTTGGTAAGACCAAAATAGCTATTTAGCTTGTAATCCATGTTGCTTGTTGAACAGAATACGGGCAGGGTGCTGAAATATCAGTGAAAGGAGATGTATATAGCTTTGGGGTGATGCTGCTAGAATTGATAACAAGACAGAGACCAACTGGAGAAATTTTCAGAGATGGGCTTGATCTAAGGAAGTGGGTGGTTGCTGCAACTCCTCATCATATCTTGGATGTTGTAGACATGTCATTGAAGCTGGAGGCACATTCACATGGTTCTTTAGAAAAGCTAGAGCAATGCTGTGATCATGTGGTTGATGCAGGAATGATGTGCACAGAAGAGAATCCACAGAGCCGTCCATCCATGTCTGTGATCACCCGAGAGCTCCAAAATGTTTGGAAACAAATGGAATTCGGCGAATGAAACATGGTTGAAATAAATAAATAATGGTATAGATGCCAGTGAAATATAAGATGTTGAATAATTTTGAGTTTTTTTTTTTTTTTTTTCCAGAAAAATCAGTGTGCATCTGCTTATATAAGAGTTTTTAGGGCAGATTGCTTGATGTTGAAGACAGTGTGTGTCTCTTAACAGTGAGTCCTCTGTTTAATGTCAGCAGTTGTAGACACAAACAAGTGTATTATCTGCTTATTGCTGATATTTATATATAAATACATATATAATTTCCATAAAAGAAAAAAACAGGGAGAGAAAACAAAATTCAATTTTCTCAATCTCACCTAGAACCTTTAATTTGTTTAATCATATTTCATTTTTGTTCCAATCTCCATTTTTGTCAGGAATAGTAACAGAAAAGGTGTAAAAAATTCAATTTCAATATGAAATTAAAAAAAAAAATATTAAAGATATGCATTTTTTTAGCAAAACAAATATGATAGAAAAATGATTTTTTTTCATCAATATTATTATACAAATCTTTTCACAATACAAGAATAAAATTACAACTAAAACAAATATGAAATCTTATATTGTTAGAACAGTACAGTTGTTTGAGGATGTGGCACGTTCAATATCATCTAGAGTGTGATTATTTACAAAGATTTAAACTATATTAATCATACTGAATATGCTATTTAATGGCAAAATTAAAGAAAGAAGAAAACATGATACCAAGGAAAATCAAAAGAGAGGGATGAGAATGGTGAATGTTTTGAAAAAAATAGTTAAAAGAGAGTTAAATTCATTTGAACCTTGATTTTTATTTAATTATAATATTGACAAAGAAAAATGTGATTTTGTTATTTTTAAAGGAGAGCTAAAGTTGGTAGAATTGGGATTTTTTGAGAAACATCTTTTAAGTTTTATCAGGTTGATTTTCATAAAAAAAAAAAAAATACTTTTTCTATTGTTTTACGTTTTTTTTATTAATTTCAATTCGTCTATTTTTGTGATATTTCAAGATTTTAGGGATACAATTAAAATTTACACATATTTTCAGTTGCTATTCTTATAGAATTCGATAGAAGGAGGAAATTGAAACAGAATTAAAAGATGTGGTTTGTTTGAAATATAAATGAAAAGTGTGGAGGCTAATTGCAATAAACTAAACGTTTTAAGTGACATTGAAGCAACACATAACCCCCACAGGAGAAAATTAAAACTTATTTTTTTTATAGTAGCAAAGCAATTGTATTTCATTAAAACATTGGCGGACTGTCTGAAAGCCCATGTATACGGCCCATCCAGATGCATAGAAGTTGTAAAATCAAATTTGGTCTCTATTAAGTAGTTAGAGCACTTACTTTCCAATAATTTCCCATTTAAGTCTCCGAAGTTCTAAATCCATCCCCATATTTCCAAATCTCTTCCAATTTGGTCTCCTTGTATAAAGTTCTAAACGTTCAAATTTGAGTTCTCTCCAAATTCTTACAATTGAAATTTTTTACAAGAGATCTTCTTATAAAGTATCTCCTTTTCTTTTCTTGTTAATATAGGATAAACATCCTACTTGAAAACACTTTTTTTTAAGACACTTAACCTATTATCTATCAAGCTTATGTTTTTCTAACATTCACTTGCATTATTTTTTTCAAAATATATACATGATATTATAACAATTTGAGAATAAAAAAGAGAGAATAATTGAGGTTAAAACTCTAAACAGAAAGAGATTGTCATGTACTGCAAGTGATTCTTGTCGAATTTCATTAAAAAAGGGTGGACTACCTCAATCGATTCGGGTTGAGGATGATGGTGGAGCACTAGGTTCTTGAACTCTCACCCTCAATTAAGAGTGATTGTTACGTTGTGGCAGGTGTAATGTCCTACTTATCGGATTTTTTTTCTTTGCTAAAAAAGCAAATTTAAGATAAAAAATATGATAAGAAGAAATATAGCAGGAACACGACACAATTGCACATGGTATTAAAGATCGTCTTTCACACTAAAAACCACACAATAAATTAAAATTAACACACAAGAAGTTCCTTCACGCCTTGAGGCCTTAAGAAAAAAAAAGCATGAAAAAATTATCAATATAATAATAATAATAAAAAGATTACTAGATATAAAAACAATTAAAATAAACAAAATATACTTACAAAACATCTGCTTGCATGATTTTTTAACTCCTTATTAGTATTATTAAATTAAATTTATTCCACACCAATAAGGAGTTAAGAAATTCTAATGACGGACAAACGTATTGAAAATCATTCCACGTACACTCGTAAACACCGAATACCGGATATTATATATGCTTTTGGAAAAAAACAAGTATTGCAATTCATTACCTAACATTGTTATTGCATTTGTTGAGATTAGAGGAAGTCGTATTGTGTAGTTGAGATAATTTATATATGGATTCTACACTGCTATAAAATCAACCCTAGCTAGCAATGGCCGGTACTCAACATTAAAGACGAAGCAAAAATCAAATCAAAGGATGATTCTAAAAAGGAAAGATCTGAGATAAGCTTAATTAGCTGGTTTGATGTCATTATCACAATTTTCGATCTAAAAACCCTAGCATGCAACTCTGCACCATATAAAGATGTGTAACAAGTGCAGGGAGTTCTGAATAAGACCAGACGAGGTTCCAAATTGCCACTTGTGCATGGATGTACGTAGATGCATGTGAATGAACATAAAATCCATATTCATTTATTCTACTTTCTGCATTGCTAACATTAATCAGTAAGGAATCTACATCGGAGACTTAGTTTCGATGCTTAATTCAATGTTATCTGTGTTATCATTTCAGTTTTTGAGTTTTGAATTAAAAAAGAGCTCAAATAATTTTTTTTTCTCATGACTGTATAAACAGGAATGTAGATATTTATTTAATATCCTATTAATTAAGGAGAAACTTAATTTCAATATGCCGTGTTGGGTTTTGCATCTATGTCAAGTCAACTGGCTAATTGGTGCATTAATTAATGACAATCTTTCAAATTTTAATTTATTGCTCATTTATTTTTGAGAAAAGTTTAGGTGACAATACGTGACAGCAAAGTGCTGTGTATTTATTTATTTGGGTAAGAGTGGATAATTATACCAGACTGAATTTTATATGTAGTGATTGCATTTAACTGCAAGCCTAGATCGAGTTTTGATAATAAATGAACTTTAAAGTTAAAGCTATTAGACAAATGGTCCCTCTGTTTGATGATAAATGTTCATATAACCCTTTTTTTATATTATTATTGAAAAAACATTGTTTATAATTTAATTTAATTAACGTTTTTAATTAGTCTCTCCTTTGTGTTTGTAGGATGCATCGTTAAATGAACAGCAAAATAACTACCATTTATTGTTTTTTTATATATATATAAACAGTGATTTCTCACAAGGAATCAAAATAAATGTTTCGAAAGGGAACTCGAATTTTACCTAACCTAAAAAGGTACAAGGTAGGGGAGGAAGGTTGAGAGTGCAATGAGGTTTACATACTCATGACAAAAAATGTCTTTTTTTTTTCTAACAATCATTCCATATTTATTTTCTATTTTTTTAAAGAATAAATCAAATTAAATTAAAAAAAAATTAAGTTATAAAAAAAATTAAAATAAATAATTAAAGAACTTATAATTTACTAATGTTTTGGGCAAGAAAAAGATTTAGTTCATTTTAGGATGGGACTAGGCTAAGATTACTAGGCCCACATACTTATAATTGCTAAAAAACGCCCAAGTGTGAGGACAACCTTCCAGGCCCAGAGAGCCACGAATCAAGCCCGGCTTGCCTCAAAAGGAGTTCTTTGTTCTTGAAAACGAACGCAGAGTAATACCTCTCAAAATATGCTATATATAAATTATTACTGCCCTATTATTTACTTTTAAGCAGCTTATATATGTATAAATGAAAACATCAAGGCCATTCTCAAATATATATATATATATATATATATACACATACATATATATATAACAACAGTCAATTTCATCATTTTCAACCCAACAGTTAATTTCATCATCAATGACAAAGCCATGAAAGGCGACACTATGGCACATTTGTAGAGTAATGAAACTGAAAACTCACAACCTTGGTTGAAGCTGAAGCAGGTGTGACTGCCACATTGAGGAGCATTAGAGTTTTTCATGGTGATCAGAAACTGCGAAGGTAGTAGTATGTCTAGTAGTTCTAGATGTTCCACAAGGAACAGAAATAGGAAAAGGATGCTGTCTACTTCTGCTTGCTTGGGTAAAAAACGACAGTCTAGTATTTTGGATCATTTCCAATTGGCAGGCAGGGTGACACGAAGTAGGACTTGTAGTAACGTGTCTGATGTATTGGTTTTGGGGTCAGACGTTTTGCCCCTTCCCGTGAATGGAGGTAAGGACTTCTGTCCTGATGTGGATTGTGGTAATGTTGAGAATGTGGCGGATGCTTTGCCAGTTAGGTGTAAAGAAGAGGCGGATATTGGATCAGATTGGGAGGAGAGAGCGAACAAGGTATTGCAACAGCGTTTTGGGTATAATTCCTTGAAGGGTTTACAAAAGGAAGCCTTGGCTGCTTGGGTAGCTCATCAAGAATATTGTCTTGTTCTTGCTGCAACAGGATCTGGTATTGTTGTTTTTCTTTTCTTTTTGTTGTTATATACGATTGTTTTGGTTTGCCAAATACTTATAATAAATCCTTAGGAACCAATTTTGATTACTGCAACGCTAGATAAAGCCGCACCTTCTTCTTATCTACTAACAACTGTTCTGCTTGTAGCATTGAACGTTATCAGCATAGTAGTAGGAGAATGTATTTTTGACTCATCATGTCATATATCTGATTTTCGTAATTGAATTTTTATTTTTATTTTTTCTCTGTATGATACTAGACAGGGAATTAAAATATTTAATTTTTAAAACCAATTCAAAGTTAAACATAATATGGTGTTGATCTAATTTAATATCAAATCACATAATTACTAACTTGAAATTTTCTAATAATGGAATTATATATACTGGTATCTATTTCTATGGAAAAAAAAAAACAAACAAAAAGAAACAAAGTAAAAAACAAAAAAATAAAATTGATTAACAAAATTCTAATAGTGATGGCGGGGGTGTGGCTGTCATAGATGTGAAATCAAATGAAATTTTTGGGCTTGATTTTTTCTCTCTCTCTCTCTTCAGGCAATAATAAGTCGAATCAGATTTTTAGTGGGTTGTTCATAATTTTGACGGCAAGAAATTGATTGGAGACTTTTGGCTGAATCATATGAATCGGCTCAGTTTGAGAAGCTTATTTCAGATGAAATTTCCCTTGTTAATTAGTTATTAGTGGTTAGCATATACAATAGTGTCAGCAAAAACAAAGAAATGGGTTTTGCTTACATCAAGAATAGAGAGGCAATGAAAGGGAAAAGGACAAGACAAGATCCCGTGACAATCTCGTAATAGTTGGTGGGTTGAGGAGTTTATGTGCTCAGCTACCGGTTCACTTTCTAGCTGTTGCTCATTATTTCTTCCTTTTTTATGTTTTGCGATTCTCTTTTACTCAGATATTTTAAAGATCCAGAAGAAGTAGTATTGTGTGTGAATAAAGAAACAGTGAGAGACAATGAAAGGTTCATAAATATAAATATTAGATTCAAGTGGTTTCTCTTTTCTTCTTGTTAGTTTGCTTAAAAAATATTTAATAATTAAAAAAATTATTGAATTATTGTTCCGAACAGGAAAGTATCTGTTTTCTGACAACTAAAAAAGTTATTATTTATATTCAACATCGGAGGTGAGACCTGTTGAAAAAAGCACATGCATGTACGTAGTATGAAAAACAGAAATTATTTCCATCAAAGATTAAATTGTGGGATCATTTACTTAGTCTATGGCAACTAAGAATCTAAATACTATATTTAAGGACCCTGCCCTCTGTCTTGCAGTCTATTAATAATGATCTACAGTTTCTATTTTTGGATACCGATATTGCATGCCGGCTGGAAATACACATGCAAGGAGGAGGAGCTACGTACTGTGCCAAGATAATTAAAAGCTTTTGGTGTTTTGGGTTGAAGGAAAAGATTAATTAGGGAAAACAGGTTGAAGATTTTTAATTAAAGTATTTAAACAAGTTGCATGGCAATTTAAAATCTTTGATTGCAGCATCAGCATCAACAAATTTAGGGACGAAGGTTTTGTAAAGTGGGGATATGCATGGCAAAATCATCAATTAGTAAATTGTTCCGAAACAGGAAAGTAAGTCTTTGGTTTTCCTTGTTAGATTAGGATTTCTGCAAGTTGTATAAATACAAGCATTGTACCCCTTATTTTGCATAACCAGCCTTCTTTTCATCTCCACACTCCTTTCGAGTCCTAGATCGACAATGATGCCAGTATCTGCACTTTCTATTGATGAGAAATTAGATACTGGAGCAGCAGACATTAGTTTGGAAGAGGAGGCTTCGAGACTATTGAAGGAGGTCGAAGAATCGAGCTTTTATTCTAGATTTAGAGAGCAAATCAAAACAAGCCAAACCTTTCAACACAATCTGAAGCGAGTCCTAGGATCCCATTCCTACGTTGTGATGGTGATTTACGCTTTGGGTATTATGGACGTGGATTATCGATCACAACATCAACTCGCAGTGGCTTTGCTGTTGAAGCGAGATTTCTCCCACTGGATTGATGAGATTGAGGTTTTTGATCCAATTTTCTCTCCAAGAGATGTTGTTGTGCTCAAGAAGTTGGGTTGCAAAGTTCTCTCTGTTGATGAGAAGTGCCGGAGGCAAGTGGAGAAACCAACTTTGTTTTTTATGCCCTATCCTTCTTTCCATTTCTTTTCAAACTTAATGGAGGCTAATTTGTGTCCTTTCAAGATCAATCAACTCATTCTGTTGTCAAACAACTTGGACAACGTAATGAAGCTTGTGAGGAATTCTGATCCAGATAAACTATATGCGGCATTCACGAAGGTCACGATGCAGACTGTTGAAAGCATTCAAAAGTATTGGAAAGAGATTAAAGTTTGCACAAACTATACGAATCGGAATACACTTACAATCTCTGAGTTCTCTTGGTATTTCTTTGATGTAAAGCATAACATTGATATGAAGAGCTTGATCCCAGGTATGGTATATATCTCCTCCCTTATGTTTTCTTTTATCATCTTCTTCCTTATGGAAGATATATAATTCTGTGTATTCTTTCATGATTAAGCAGGTTTTTCCAGAAATGTAAGGTTGGAAATGGGGAGACAACTTGATAAGATGAAAAATTCGGATGGTTTTGCAGAATGTGAGAGGTATACTGAGTCTGAAACCTTTTGTGTTTGCAATAGCTCTTGTTGTTAACAAAATTTCTTTCTGCAGGGTTCTAGAGCCAATTATCAAGTCAAATGTTAGTTATCAAAATCAGAAGGTGTTAATGCGACCTCTTTACAAATATCGCAAGTTTCCATATCCTCCTCCTGCTAAATGGGTAAAGCTTAGTAGAAGTGGAAAAGGTAATGATGAAGGCGGTCATGCTGGTTATGGTGGAATTTTTTACAGCGAGACTGAGAAGTCAATTGCAACCTTCAATGGAAGTCTTGGGCAAATGAATGCCACAGCTGCGAGTATAGAGGCAATAAAGCATGGATTTAGATGCTTACAATTTGATCGTGGTGGGTGATGATTTATGTGCCATTCGATGTGTTGGCCATTGGCTTCAGCAAAAGCAGCCCAGCACCAAGATTACACAAGTTTGAAGTGAGATTATTGCTTTATCAGAAAACATAAATTGTGTAATTCATCACGTATATGAGGAGGCTAATCTCCCAGCTATTGTGCTGGCCAAAGAGGGCTCTAAGTTGCTGAATCCATGTTTGTGGATATCTCAACAATTAAGATAAAACAATCAATAGTAAAGTTCAGGATTTAAAATTGTCAATTCATTCTCCAATTCAGTTTTGGAAACTTTGAAACTTGACTAATTTTATTACTTGTTAAGTTTGATTATTTTAACTGTTACATGGAGTCTAATTTTTCTCCTTCTCAACCATACGGCATGTAAAGAAAACATATTTAGTATTGATTGATATATAAATTAACGATACTATATATAGCTATTTCTCCACAATAAAAGAATTTTTTTATGAATAAAAAAGACATCTTTGAAAAATAAAAATGACATCGGTAATTTTTTATTAAATCCACTATTTGCACCTTGCATTTTTATAAATCTATCAAATAAGTTTTTGTATTTTTAATTCGGTTAATTGAACACGTGTATTTTTAATTTTAATTTTATAAAATCGATAATTTTTATATATATTAAGTTGAATAAAAAAATATATAAACATGGAACCCACATGCGATATTGTACCAAAAAATTTCAATTTTTCAAAATCATGCTCAAATGAATGAAATTAGAACTATACGTATTCAATTGATTAAATTGAAAACACGAGGACTTATTTGAAAAAATCATGAAAACACATGGTATTATTAGTGGGTTTAACCCTAGTTTTTCTTTTTTATTATTATTCATTAAAGTTGTGGTTGATAACTTGTAAGAAAAGAGGGTGTGTTGATATTTACTAAAATGTGATATTGACTTGAATATCTCTAATGACAGAAAAAGATTGAATTGTTCGTTCAACATTATATATTCAATTATAACAACAACTTCTAATGATCAGTCCAATTTCAACATACAACATTTTCTTTATTATTATTGAAAAACCATTGTTTATAATTTGATTCAATGTTTTTTATTAGTCTCTCCATTGTGTTTGGAGGATGCATGCATTGTTATCCTAAGGAGCAAAATCAATACCATTTATTTTTTCAAAAGGGAACTCCATTTTTACCTAGCCTAATATTTCATTCCATGCATAGAGGCTAGAGGAAGGATTGGGTAGGTATTTTTGAGATAAATTATAGATTAGTCATCTCCCTAGTTTCAAGAAACAAATTAATTAATTTTTTCGTTTAAAAAATATTATTATTTAGTCTTTTGATCAATATTAATCTTGTTTAATTTAGTATTATTTTTTCTATAAAACGTCTTCTTTTTTAATCAATCTTTACATATTTCTTCTTTTTCTATTTCTTGAAAAAAAATTAAAATGCAAAAAAATAAATAAAAAACTAAGTTACAAATCAAATTAAAAACATGAAGACTATAATAAATGAAAAAGGCATTACTCTAATAGTTTAGGTGCATTGGTGGACATTCCATCAGCAAATTCCATCGCAAAATATATGGGATTTTCATATTCATGACAAAAAAAAAAAGTAATTTTTTTCGTCAATTATTTCATATTTTTTTATTTTATTTATTTCTTAAACCATTAAAGAGAAAGAAAAAAAACATTAAGATTAAGTTATAAAAAATTAAAAATAAATAATAAATAATTTTTTTGAACAAAAATAACTAGTTAATTCGCTTTGTGGAAAGAAAAAGATTTAGCTCATTTCAAAGCGGTACTAGTCTAAGATTGCTAGGCCCATACTTATAATTGCTAAAAGGAGCCCAAGTATGAGGACAAACTTCCAGGCCGAGAGGGGCGCGAATCAAAAGAGAGAGATGAGACTGGAAAAGGCTCTGACAAATAATAATAATAGTAGTAGTAATAAATGAATAAAATAAAATAAATAGAGTTTGATTTATTTGAATTTTTATGTTCATTTAACTATAGTAATCAAAAAGAAAAATATAATGTTGTTGTTCATTGAGAATTGAAGTTGTTAGGATTTTGGGATTTATTGAAAAACTAGTCTCTCAAGTTTTTTTTATATATATATATATATAGATTTTATGTTTTTATTTTTTTACTTTCAATTCTTTTATTTTTTTTCTTTATTTTTTGAGTAATATTGAAAAATTTCAAAAAAAAAAAAAAAAGAAGATGATATTGAAATTTACACATTTTCTATGCTATTGTTGATGAAATGGACATACAGGGGAAATCAAAGCAGGAAGGAAAGATATGGGTCCGATTGAAATAGAAATGAAAGTCATGAAGTTTAATTGCAGCAAACTAAAATTTTAGGTGAAATTGAAACAGTACGTAAACCTAAAGGGGCAAATTGAAACTTACTCCTTCGTATTTTTTGTAATAGCAAAGCAATTGTATTTCATTAAAAAATTTGCTGACTATCTTTAAAAAATAAGAATCAAACTTTTAACATAATAAGTTAAATTCACTCTTTTTACCGCTTCATCTATAATTTTGAAGTTCGTATTTATGCTTCAAGCTTTTACTTGGTAACACCACAACAAAACTACTTAATTAACAGATCCTGTTGCACATTAAAGGAGTGCTTTAGCAAAGCCAGAGCAATGTTGTGTTCATGTGGTTGATGCAGGAATGATGTCCACGGAAGAGAATCCACAAAGCCATCCGAGGGCTTTGAAATGTTTGGAAGCAAATGGAATTTGGAAGATGAAGTTTTGTAAAAATAAATACATGCATATATAAAGATGCTCAATAAATTTTGGGATGATGATAAATTGAAAACATTGGAATTTGCAAGTCTATCAACACTTTCTTCTCTGTTTATTGGAGCAGGCTATTTGTTTTTTATTTATTTATGAAAAGTGATGATGAAATTAATGAAAATAGCCAGTCTGACAAATTAAAAAGATTACAATCAAACTATGAAATCTTTAGACCTATAAAGATTAAACTTAACCGAAAAAAAATCAGTTACAAGAGTTCTTTTTTCCTAAAAACATGAGTGAAAAAAACTAATTTTAAATATAAAATGATATTAAAAATGACATTAAATTACTTTTGAAGCTTTCAGAATCTATCAAATGATGATTTATTCAATTATATAACTACAACAGATCGAATCCGATTCTATAATTCAATTGATTTGAAGATCAAAAGATAAAATAACACTCATAAAAACCATCACTGAATTAAATCTCACGTAACCAAAAAAAAAAACCAAGCCATGAATTTTTCATTGAAAAAGTGGAAATAACTTTAAGGAGTGAAAACAACATGAAATAATCTTATCAATTGAGAAGTGAGACAAGGGAAAAGGAGATATTTGTCCCCCTATTTTCATATGATTCTCAACTAGGTCCTCAAACAAAACGAATTCCTCATTGGATTCCCCATTTATTTGAGATTACCTAATTAACCCCCACGTATTAAAATTTATGATTAAGATGAGGCATTTTAAGACAAACAGATTTTATGACTGTAAATGCAAAATTTAAAGTCAAGGGTTAGCTGTGTTATGTTCAACAGGTTAGGGACCCAATTGAGTATTTGATGATAAATATGTCCTTTGCCCTCAAGTCAATTTTTATACCATTTCTTAAAACCTTTTTTTTTTTTTTTTTTGAGAAATCACCGATACCATATGAAGAACTTTCAAACGCACCGTTTTGTCCCCTCCACGGAAAATCCCAACTGCCATCTCTCTGAAACCACAAGTTAGTTAAAAAGCAGGTACAAACACCACAGCAACCACAAGCACAAAAATGGAGTCCCTGTGTTTCTACAGTTCTCTCCCTCCAATTCCTCTATTTCAAAAAACCATTAAAAATCCCAGTAAACTCTCCAAAACAAACCCTCTTCGTTTATTCCCTCATGTTTCAATTTCTATGTTCAAACTTCGTTGCACAACTGAAGAGGATTCCCCCTCTCCACTTCTTCAGCTTACACAGTCCTTGGCGTCGACTCTGGTTGCTCCACTGCCGCGATCAAAGCAGCTTTCAGGGCTAAAGTATTAAGACAATCACTTTGATTTAGTTAATGCTTCTGTTTTAGAGACAATAGTAAGAACACTCGCGGCTGTGTAATCACACATGTGTTGGAGAGACTAAATGCCCCACATAACGTGTGACCGTGCTTAGCAATTCTCTAATTATAGTTGATTATTCAATGGAATGTTTACTTCATTAATTATTTGTTTATTTGTTTTTGTATAAAGGTGAAGCAATTTCATCCTGATGTGAATAAGGATGGCAAGGTTTCTGATGTAATGATTCGCCGCATAATTCAAGCTTATGAGGTACTTCTTTTCCTGTTTCTTTTGGATTTTAAGCGCTAAATTTGTGATAATTAGTGAGATTTGGTGGATGATTGTGTGTGTTAATGATTTTTGTAGATTTTATCTAACTACAGTCGATCTGAGATCATTGAAAGGTGAAATTTTGGTCATTCATTTGTGAGTATTGTTTGATTTTCTTTAATGTGTGATGCTGCTAAACGTTTGGAGATGCATTTGCAGGGAATGTTTGGATCCTTTTGAAGAGCCAGAGTGTGAAGCATTTGATATCTTTGTTAATGAATTTCTTTGTATTGGCAAAGGTACTAATATGTTAATACCCTTGTCTGATAGATTTCCTCTTCGTTAACAAATGAAAGCTTAGGGTTTCAAATTTCAATTCTTCACAGAGCTTAAATGTTGAGGAACAAGACTGTTGATGGATTCTCTGTCACTTCACTTCCTAGAACCATAATCAGGTTATAGTCTTTCTGAGTTTTCACCTATAACATTCAAAATATTTGCAGGGTGTCCATCTTCATGTGTTCAAAGAGCTCCCCATGCCTTCACTCATGCTTCTTCAACAGGAACTGCAAGGGCGACATCTCAAGGTTGGTCTACTATCCGGTGATCAGATTTTTTAGTGTCTTTGGTCTCTTTGAGCTTGTCTCTATACGAAATCTAAGAAATCAGCAAGAAGGCAACATTATTAAAGGACCATCTCATCTAAGAGCTTAAGCTGATAGGTGAGGCCTCATAATATAATTTATATTAGTCTCTAACACACCCCTTCAAGTAAAAGCCTCAACATTTGGGCTTGAAACTTGCACAAGTTGAAACATTGGGGATGGTGAAACTTGAACTTAGGACCTCTTGATTAACCAAGCTCTGATACCATATTAGAGGACTATCTCACCTAAAAACTTAAGCTGATAGGTGAGGCATCGGAATATAATTTATATTAGTCTCTAACAAACTTATGATGCATGGAAAATTTGCAGTAAAAAAGTGTAATAATCCTATAGATTCGAGTTAAATATGACAAAGAATGTTGGTGTGTGATCAAGTGCAGATAAAAGACATTAATTCTTTTAACATTTTCGATTTAAAAAGCCAGTATTTGTTTAATCAGGGCATGGTGAAGACTACCAAGTTCAGCTTGCGGTTGGTCAATGCCCCAGAAGCTGTATTCATTATGTTACCCCTTCACAGAGAATTATACTAGAGGAATTACTTGACAGGTAATTATTTTTCAGTCCCTGGGAAAATTGCTGATTCACTACAGGCTATTTGAATTGATGTAACAAGAAAATGCAGCCACTTCACCAGTAATCAATTATGGCTTACTTCTTATGTCCTATCATTAATTCGTGCTTGGATTGATACTGCAGTATCTTGGATGTGCCTTACGATTGTTCAGCCGAGGCAGACTTGCTTTATTCACTTATAGTTAAAGCTAGGTTCGAGAACAATCGGTTCAGGAAGCCAAAGAAGCAACCGAAGACTTCAACCAAACATGTAGATTGGTTTTGAAATTGAAACTCCCAGTACAGTGGTACCGACATTATACGTTCAGATTTTGTGTTCTGCTTACGACTCGAAGCACAACTCTGAAGTTCAAAGTCTGCAATAGGTTAATATGTGAGATTTTCTGATATCATTGGAATAATAAAGGAAAGGATCCGGGGGATATCTTCTTCACGCCCTGTGCTTCCAGTACTGATCCCAATCCATTTCTCGAACAACTAAAATGCTTGCTGGATGCAAGTTCTACAACCTTTTATGCCCATTTCAAGTGCAGTTCATTCCATTGTACATCTCCACTCCTGGAATATTTGCAGTTCAAGTATGCTAAGTTTTAGATGCTGGGCGGAGAACAAAGTTTCATGTTTTTTTTTTCTTTTTGGGATTCATGTTTGTACATCTCATTGTGACATATTTTTTTTCTGCCAATAAAATTAACTCCTTGAATAACGCATCCCTTTCCCTTATTGATTTTATGTTCGTTGTGAAGGAAACCAAAGCGCAGTATATTTCCATGACTATTGTAAGGAACTTCTGTCAAAGAGTTAATATTACCAGTCAAGGTTTACACTTTCAAATCCTATGCTTATAGATTTTCTAGACTTGAAGTCATTTAATGATCTAAGCTCTAAATTCTAATTTGAACCGGCAATAGTAGATTGTGGACAGCTTATATGGACCAATATTAAATAGGTGGGAAAAGTGGATTAAATAGTGTTAATTATTATTAATTATGAATAATCTAAAATATTATATGATTTCACTGCAACTAAGCCACATCATTTTTTCAAAAAATAAGTTATTTTTTTGTCAATTTGTTCAAATTTTTACACTTTGATCTTTCAATTTATAATTTTACTTAAACCGATCTCTTAACTAAATATTTATTGGAGATAGATTGTTATATTTTTTTTATGGCTGGGTTGGAAGGCCCATACAGATGAGCCTAGTGTTAGCCCAACCAAGTCTCTCTCTCTCTCCTTTTTTTTTTTTTTTTTTTTTGCGCTGCTTTTTATATTTATTTTTCATTAATTATTATTTAATCAAAATAAAAAATTCCTTTTTTATGCTTTTATTTTTTTATCTATTATTTACTCAAATATTTTTTTTTCTATAATTAATGGTTACTTTTTGATTTTTTATAGACTTGTTAACTAAAATTAAACACTCTTATAATATAAATTGATTAAAAAAATTAATTGCAAGTTTGCTTCTTTTTTTAATTAAAAATATATATATATATATATATATATATAATTTCTCACAATATGTTAAATATTTTTTATTTTATATGTATATTTTTTAATTATTTAAAATATTAAAAAATTAATTGTTATTTTTTTTATAGACTCATTAAATAAGTTTAAAAACTCTTCTAATGTAAATTGATTTAGCATGTTCTTCTAATTTGATTAAAAAATAATAATTAATTGTATGTTTTCTTTTATCCTTTTCTTTTTTGTTATATATATATATATATATATATATATATATATATATATATATATATTGCATGGTACATATTAAATTAAGCAAGTTCTCACAATTAGTATTACTTAATTTTTATTTTACTCCAAAATTTTTTAATTATTTAAAATAATAAAAAATATTATATAGACTTCCTGCGACAAGGTGCGGGTATTTTGCTAGTAAATATATTAAATAAAATAGATTTTTATTATAGCTAAGCTCTTTTTTGGCTTTTAGTTATTCTTTTTAGTCCTTGTTTTCTAAACTTTTTTTTATCATTGAAGATTTATTATATTTGTCCCTGCAAAAACATTGTTTTGCCTTGCGGTGAAACTTTCTATTCTATTATCTTTCTTTTATTTTGTTCATTAAAGCTTTATTATATTTTATTTTTATCTTTACTACATTAAAACTAAATATCGTTTCACTATCCAATGTCTTTTTTTTTTTTTTGGGCTTTAGTGAATTTTTTCTTTCTATTTTAGTTCTTATTTTATTATTATTATTTTTTATTTTGGTCATTAAAGTTTAATCATATTTTATTTTTGTTCATGCCTTATGCATAATAAGGTTTTTTAGTCTTATTATTTATAAACTCTTTTTGGCTTTTGGTGATTTTTATTTATTTATTTTGGTCTTTATTTTATGATCTTTACTTTATTTTGATTATTTAAATTTTTTCATGTGTGATTTTTATCCTTACCGTTTACCAAATAAATTTAGAAATATTTCAATTTTATGCCATTTTCATAATTTTTTTTTCTTTTATTTTTTATGATCTCTCTATCTTGTTAACAAACTACGGATGAAGAACATATGATGAATATTAATCATTCAAAATTTAAAAAATTACTCCATCATTATTTTAATTATTGATTATTATTTATATTTTTAATATAATATATGCTTGGTATTACACAACATTCAATTAGCAATATTATATTACTTAACTTTGCAAACTTTTCTATTAACTAACCTCGTAGTAATGCATGAGATGTATGCTTTGGTCCTTTTATTCTCTGAATTTTTTTTTGCATTATTTTTTTAAAATAATTGTTTTGAACTCTATATTTTATATAGATTAACACATGAGAATATTGTGTAGCTCACCTTGTGACAACGCGCAAGATATATGCAAGTACATATACTAAATTTATATAAGCTTTTGTTATATCTAAGCTTTTCTTTTTGGCCTTTAGTGATTTTTTTTTTGGGTAAATTACTAAAAGCACCATGTATTTAGACGGTAAAAACACTATGTACCCCTATTTTTAAAAAAATTGCATTTTAGTTTTAATATTTATTTAAGAAAACACACTGTATTATAATTTCATTTTTAGTGTCAAATTTTCAAACAAAAAAAAAAGAATATCTAAATTATTACAAATTTGCCATTACCTTTTGACAATGGTCAGAATGCCCTTCGAAAGCTTTTTTTCCTTAAAAAATGAAAATAGCTTCTAAGAAAGAAAATGTTACCATATGAGAAGAGTTATAAAATTTTGTAACATTTCATAACAACTCAAATCTAATTCAACATAAAAAAAAAAAATGCAAAATACCTAAAATCCAATATATCAAAAAAGTTTCGGGATTATCCATCTATTTTGTCTGTCTTTTTAGCTTCTCTGCCAAAATTTTATTCATCAACAACATTTGTCCACGAATTTGTACTTGTTCTTCACCGTGGATGCGAAGTGAAGTCCATGACAGTAGATCCAAGAGAAAGTATAGCTACTACAGAAAAATATGCAAGTCCATCCCAGTAAGGTTGTATAAGAAACAATAAAGAACATAAGAACTCGGTTTAACCACCTTAAACTAGTAATTATTGCCATTTAACACCATAGAAAAAGAAACTGAGAAGTAATGGCCTAGCAAAATTGAACCTAAGCTGCCAAACAACTCACTGAATCACATAAAAATCACAAAATCAATAATTTGCAATTCAAGAAGAAACCAAAGGCTGACCTTAACATGATACACTGAAGCAAATATCAGAATATATAAACCATGAAAGAAAGTTCCAATTTGCAAGTCCGAACCATAATCTTTAAAATAGAAAACTATACCAAAAGCCAAGGGTACTGGGGTTTCTAAAATCTAAAAAGCCAACATAAAATGAGTCTAGTGAAAAGAAAAGGTCAAAGTCAAATTGAAAACAGTTAGAAATTACATGCATTAAAAAATTAACAGAGCTTCAACATAAATTACATGGTCAATAGTGATCAAGGATGTCGAAAGGTATTAATTGTAGTAGAGAAGCACATGGTATGCCACAATATCATCAACAAATCCCAAACTGACCATACGAAAATTTAACAACATCTTGAAGGTAAAAATCAAAATTTAAAGATTATAGATTTTTGAGAGTTTCAAATTAACAAATTCAAAAAAAAAAAACACAAATATTTTTAGGGGTTTTGCTCAAAACAACCAATTAGAGCATAAACAATCAATTTTGAACTAAAATATAAACATTAAACAATTTAGGTTTTTTAGACTTTCAAAAAACAACTTATAAATCCTTAAAAAAAAACAAATAATCTTGTTGGGCTTTGCTCCAAATTCTAAATATATACGCTTAATCCAAACATTTTATGATTTAATTACCTTTTTGTTCAAAAAATTTAAGAATCAAAGTTAGGGTTTCACATATCTTATTTGATTTGTTCAATTTGTATTCAATTCTTATTCAAATAACTAGAGATATAAAAACAAGGTTTTTTAATCAAACTTATTAGATTGATTGTGTGATCTTCTGTTTCGGTCTCTCTCTTCGAACAGAGAGAAAAAGTAGAGGAGTGAGAAACAATTTGGTGAGGATGGGAAAGAAATGGTTAGGGGACAGTTGGGTTAAATTATATATATGAGGATATTTTAGACTTTTTACACTTCACCTGTTTGAAAATAATTTATCAAATATATAAGGTGTAAAGTGTAATTTTTCAAAAAATAGAGATGTAGAGTGTTCTACCACCTGAATACATAATGGTTTTAGTAATTTACCATTTTTTTTGTCCTTATTTTGTGATTTTTTTTTTTTTTTTTTTTTTTTGTCATTGAAGTTTTATAATGTTTGGTTTTTGTGCCTGTGAAAAGCTTTTTTTGGTTTTCAATAAAACTTTTAGTTTTGTTTTGGTCCTTTTTTTTATATTTTTTATATTTTGGTTATGAAGTTTTAACATGTTTGATTTTTTTTGTCATTACTGAAGTAAAACTAAATATAGTTTCACTATTCTAAGCCTTTTTTTTTTTGGTTTTTAATGAAATTTTCTTTCTATTTTAGTTGTTAAAGTTCTATCATGTTTAATTTTTGTTCATGCAACATGCATAATGAGTTTTTTTTTTGTCTTATTGTTTCTAAACTCTTTTTGGCTTTTAGTGACATAAAATACACTTTGACCATAGCCAAGTCCATTTTTTTGGTTTTTAGTAAATTTTTTCTTGTTTTGGTCTCTATTTTTTATTTTTTATCATTAAAGTTTTATCATGTTTGATTTTTGTTCTTACAAGAAACACATTTTTTTTTTTTAACTTTTAGTGGAAATTTTTGTTTTGTTTTGGTATCTGTTTTGTGATTTTTTTATTTTATTTTGGTCCTTAAAGTTTTATCACGTTTGATTTTTGTTCTTATTG